CGAGAATTGACTGATACTAGAATGAAGGCAAATTGTCTGGTTATACACGCCTGTTAATTACATCAAGAAAAAAAAAGTTCTGAATGAACAAGTTAACAAAAACATCTTTAATATAAATAACACTGACACATCACACCAGTGTTCTACAAGCAGAACTGTTTATCTGAGTCTAAGTTCAGGTGATTCTGACTCAGAAGGTGATTTGAGCTCAGATTTTATTGTTTTATTGTTTTTTTATATATATATCATCATTATATCTCTGATGTAGAAGTGGAGCCACTCAGCTCTGGTTCTGGAGATTCTCCACATGAGGTTGTTCTGCTCAAACTAAACATACACTGTAAAATACAGACAGTCCACCGCGGTGTCATTTAACACTCCTGTCTGGTTTTACAGCAATGGTCCATGCGCATCTCAATATTCATACAAGTGAGTTTCTCACATTGAGTCTTTTTTTCTCTTGTCCACATGTGCAGGAAAAAAGTTCTTGTCCACAAAGTCTGTTCTTGTTGGTTCACCGTAAATAATATTCAATCGCAGCAGAAAATGCAGCAAAGCCTCCACATCCCAGGACTCCAGCCTTCAGTCCAGCTACAAAGCAGAGACACAAGAAATGTGAGGACCAGACAAACGCATTTTCTTCAGTGTGAACCATCAAAGCAAACACAGCAGGTTACAGACCTCGAAACCCGATAACTCCTCCAGTTACACAGCCGCTGTAGACGGCGTTCTTCCAGTCAGAAACTCCTCTGTGCTGCAAAGACAGAACAAAACAACTAAAGTTGAGGCAGAAAAAAAAACTATTAAGCATTCTCAGTGGTATCATTATTTAGCAGATAGTTTGGTGATTTTGCTGCACACATACCAGTTTAGCACCAGAGGGCGCTATAAGACCTCTGAGGATGTGAAAAACAGAACTACTGGACAGGAGGTTCCAAAAACACCTGAGACTCAACATGGAGCACTGGTTGGTTTTATTCTAACAAGAGTTAGTGTCTTTAGTTAGTGAAAATTTTAGAATGTTACCCCAGATGTGCAATCAGAGATCTGCTGACTGAAGGCTGTTAAAGTAAAAAGGAAGCATGTATTTCCTTGTTGCATTAACAGAAACACATGTAGAATATTGGTTTCCACTGTTTCCATATTGTTCCCACTGGCAGATTAATTGTCTTTACAATAAAGGTAATTAATTAGTTAACAGCCTGTCAACTATCAAATTAATCAACTATTTTGATTATTAATTATTTAGTTTAAGTCTAAAATGTCATGCCCCATTTTTGCAGGTGTTCGTGATTAAAATGAAGATATTTCAGAGTTTAAATCCACAATGTGTTTACATTATCTTGTCTATTCTCTGTTTTGCTACAGACAGTGATGGACATNTCCTTAAGGATATCAGTATCTGGAACTCCCAACTAGTCAGTCAGAACTGATGAAGCCTCTTGGATGAGAGGTGGAACGTCTTCAAGGAACTCAAGCAAGTCCAGTTGCTACGATTCATCTACGAGAATTGACGGATACTAGAATGAAGGCAAATTGTCTGGTTATACACGCCTGTTAATTACATCAAGAAAAAAAAAGTTCTGAATAAACAAGTTAACAAAAACTTCTTTAATATAAATAACACTGACACATCACACCAGTGTTCTACAAGCAGAACTGTTTATCTGAGTCTAAGTTCAGGTGATTCTCACTCAGAAGGTGATTTGAGCTCAGATTTTATTTTTTATATATATATCATCATTATATCTCTGATGTAGAAGTGGACCCACTCTGCTCTGGTTCTGGAGATTCTCCACATGAGGCTGTTCTGCTCAAACTAAACATACACTGTAAAATACAGACAGTCCACCACGGTGTCACTTAACACTCCTGTCTGGTTTTACAGCAATGGTCCATGCGCATTTCAATATTCATACAAGTGAGTTTCTCACATTGAGTCTTTTTTCTCTTGTCCACATGTGCAGGAAATAAGTTCTTGTCCACAAAGTCTATTCTTGTTGGTTCACCGTAAATAATATTCAATTGCAGCAGAAAATGCAGCAAAGCCTCCACATCCCAGGACTCCAGCCTTCAGTCCAGCTACAAAACAGAGACACAAGAAATGTGAGGACCAGACAAACGCATTTTCTTCAGTGTGAACCATCAAAGCAAACACAGCAGGTTACAGACCTCGAAACCCAATGACTCCTCCAGTTACACAGCCGCTGTAGACGGCGTTCTTCCAGTCAGAAACTCCTCTGTGCTGCAAAGACAGAACAAAACAACTGAAGTTGAGGCAGAGAAAAAAACTATCAAGCATTCTCAGGAGTATCATTATTTAGCAGATAGTTTGGTGATTTTGCTGCACACATACCAGTTTAGCACCAGAGGGCGCTATAAGACCTCTGAGGATGTGAAAAACAGAACTACTGGACAGGAGGTTCCAAAAACACCTGAGACTCAACATGGAGCACTGGTTGGTTTTATTCTAACAAGAGTTAGTGTCTTCAATTAGTGAAAATTTTAGAATGTTACCCCAGATGTGCAATCAGAGATCTGCTGACTGAAGGCTGTTAAAGTAAAAAGGAAGCATGTATTTCCTTGTTGCATTAACAGAAACACATGTAGAATATTGGTTTCCACTGTTTCCATATTGTTCCCACTGACAGATTAAATGTCTTCACAATAAAGGTAATTAATTAGTTAACGGCCTGTCAACTATCAAATTAATCAACTATTTTGATTATTAATTATTCAGTTTAAGTCTAAAATGTCATGCCCCATTTTTGCAGGTGTTGATTAAAATGAAGATATTTCAGAGTTTAAATCCACAATGTGTTTACATTATCTTGTCTATTCTCTGTTTTGCTACAGACAGTGATGGACATTATAAAAT